TCCCTACGACTTCTTATTCGCTGTGACGACTTCGCGAGTGACTACAACTAAAATACTTGTATTTTCTCGAAGTTTCACTTTCCTATAATATCAGCTAAAGAAATCAGAGGTTTAAAACTTTCTGGGAAACCAAATTCAAACAAGGTTTAAGAGTCAACAACGGTACGACGAATCGTCTTCCTTTCTTTTGTGATGAAACGCCGAAAATTCCGCGCTTCGCGCGGAAGGGGAAAAGTCGTTTAGACGAGTCGAGACAGTACAACGAATCGTCTTTCTTCTCTCATAATTAAAGGAAACGTCAAAGCTTTCGCGCTTCGCGCGAGTGGGGGGAAACTGAATTCAGATGAATGGGGGCTTATTAAGAGTCGAAAACGGTACGACGAATCGTCTTCTTTCTTTATATTGTGATGAAACGCCAAATATTTCGCGCTTCGCGCGGCAGGGGAAACTTCATTTAGACGAGTCGAGATCGGTACAACGAATCGTCTTCTTCTCTAATAATTTAAGAAACCGTCAAAGCTTCCGCGCTTCGCGCGAGAGGGGGAAACTGAATTCAGACAAAATTAATAGGGCTTATTTAGAGTCGAAAACGGTACAACAAGTCGTGATCTTTCTCTAATAATATGAGGAAACGTCAAAGCTTTGAGGGGGGAACTGAATTCAGATGAAAAGGGCTTATTAAGAGTCGAAAACGGTACGACGAATCGTCTTCTTTCTCTAATAATTTAATGAAACGTCAAAACTTTCACGCTTCGCGAACCGAATTCAGATGAATAAGGCTTATTAAGATTCGAAAACGGTACGAGGAATCGTCTTCCTTTCTCTATATTGTGATGAAACGCCAAAAATTCCGCGCTTAGCGCGGTAGGGGGAAGCTTCATTCAGATAAGGATTAAGTGTCGAGAACAGTACACCGAATCGTCTGCTTTTTCTCATAATTTAATGAAACGTCAAAGCTTCCGCGCTTCGCGCGAGAATGGGAAACTGAATTCAGACAAATAGGGCTTATTAAGAGTCGATAACGGTACAACGAATCGTATTCTTACTCCAATAATTTGAGGAATAGTCAAAGCTTTCGCGCTTCGCGAACCGAATTCAGATGAATAGGGCTTATTAAGATTCGAAAACGGTACGAGGAATCGTCTTCCTTTCTCTATATTGTGATTAAACGCCCAAAATTCCGCGCTTCGCTAGGAAGGGGAAAACTTCATTTAGACGAGTCGAGAACGGTACAACGAATCGTTTTCTTTCTTTAAAATTTAAGGAAACGTCAAAGCTTCCGCGCTTCGCGCGAGAGGGGGAAACTGAATTCAGACAAAATTAATAGGGCTTATTTAGAGTCGAAAACGGTACAACAAGTCGTGATCTTTCTCTAATAATATGAGGAAACGTCAAAGCTTTGAGGGGGAAACTGAATTCAGATGAAAAGGGCTTATTAAGAGTCGAAAACGGTACGACGAATCGTCTTCTTTCTCTAATAATTTAATGAAACGTCAAAGCTTCCACGCTTCGCGCGGGAGGGGGAGAAACTGAATTCAACCAAGGATAAACAGTCGAGAACGGTACGGCAATTTTTATTTTTTTTAATAATGATTTAATAAAAAAAAACGTCATAGCTTTCGCGCTTCGCGCGGGAGGGGGGGGGGGGATCTTCATTCAGCCAAGGATTAACAGTCGAAAACGGTACAATTAATCGTCTTCCTTTCTCTATATTGTGATGAAACGTCTAAGCTTCACCCATCACCCACACTCCCCTAATGAGCGCGCTTTTAAGTGATTCTCTTGCTCACTACCGCCCCTCCCTAAAGTAAGATCCTTGCTCCGCGCCTGCATTAAAATTTATAGCTATGATGCTGACTAAATTGAAGAAATAATTCGTATACTTATGTCGTCGAGGAAATTACCATTTTGCGTATATGCAAGTACTATAGATAGTCCATAGGAAAAACAATTTAGCCTTCGGCCCCATGTTCATAGGGTTGAATTTGTAAATATTGGACATTTAATTTTGTCGGGTAATTGGTGGCTATTTTTGTCGGTAATCGTTGGCCTCTACACCCCCCCCCCCCCCCCCACGACGCCCCTGTGTACATACTTGTATAAAGTAGTGTTAGTACTGCCAGTTGAGATATAGGGTATTATGTATTTTTAAAGTATATCTTAAAGCTAGCCTTCATTTGAAGAGAGACTCGAAAAGATGATGGACCACATCTTGCAGTGCGGCGGAACGGGTTGCACAGATGAAGACCTGGTCGCTGTTAATGAAACGGCCATTGCAGCAATCGGGCGATGAAAGAATTTAATTTAATTTAATTTAATTAAGGGACTTTACATAACTATTTTGATCTAATGAGACACGAACGAACGATTCGTTTGTTGTTCGCTGCCAAAGATGTTCTTGTTTTTAAAGATTTTCTGTGTTTGTTTAAATATCATTTTTGAACATTATAGTTGTATCATTCAACTGTATTTCTTCCATTCCCCAGAAGGGGCCGTTATTGCTCCAACATAGTTATGTACGATTTCTGTTGCCGTCCAGGGAGGTGGGATTTACATTTAAACCTAAACTTAAAGGTGAAGATGATGTTCTATGGCAATGTAGAACACATATTACGACTGACTACTAAAATACAATTATTCCCAAAATGAACAGGGGGGTAAGCGGACACTTTTTTTTTTTTTTTTTGGTCTCGAAATTTCAAAATTTGACATTTTTCTTCGTGGGGGGGGGGGGTAAGGTCACCTTTTTTAGGTTAACCGTGGGTATAATTTTTTTTTTTTTTTTTTTTTTTTTTTTTTTTAATAATTAAAAAAAACAAAAAAAAACAAAAAAAAACAAAACCAAAGGGGGGGGGGGTTTGGTTTTTTTTGGGGGGGTTTACACACATAAAAATACCAAAGGGGGGGTTTGAACCCCCGAAACCCCCCCCCCCCTGCGTACGCCCCTGTTCGTACCCTTTTTTTGAAAGCACCCCCTATCTGAGGACTGCCAACATTTCCGAACCCCCCTTTCGCGGGCTTTTCGCGTGCTTTTCCTGCCTTGGAGACCCCCCTAAATCAGGAAAAATGCTCAATGTACCCCCCTAAATTCGGAATAATTTCTCAGGAGTCCAATGGGATGAGAGAAAAAAAGAAAAACACCCCCTTTTTAAAGAAATCTCTGGGTGAAAAGTCAAATACACCCCTTTTTTTACAATTCTCGGGCCGGACTTTGTCGCACGAAAAGTACCCCTTTACCGGACATTTTGGCAACACGCATGCGGTCATTCCGACCTCTGAGTGGGGGGGGGGGGGGGCGGGGTCTACTACCCATTCAGTTAGTCTAATTTCGATAGTTCGTCTAATTCCAAGTTTGTTTAATGCCCCTTTCTTCTACTATCCATCATGGTCTAATAATCATTCAATCATAAATGATAAAAATCAGCAAATGATTTTTATACCATACTTAGACCTTACAAAGTTGGCAAACAAACAAACAAAAACACAATCACTACATTGCGATTAGAATAACATGAGGACAGCAAATAAATCTCCTTGATATCATGCACTTCCCACTGTCATGCCAACTATAACTATGCCCTATAGGTGGACAAGCCTTGTTTTACAGAGCATCTATAAGCAAGGATATCAGGGTTCTGACAAAAAACCAAACACCTGAAAGAGTGAATTGAGTGGTTCATTCAAAGAACATGTCAGTTTCCTGTACTAGATCTTCAACGGAATTATTTGTGGTGCCAGTCTAAAAAAATATTAGTTGTGAAAATGTCAGACTTGTAAAAAACGTTACAAGTAAAAAAAATGTCAGAGACTATATCGGTGGTAAAAATGACGGATATTTTACAGAGGTAAGATAGACCGTTAAAAAATACACCTGGGGTAAATATACCAGAGGTAAAAAAAAAAAAAAATGTAATTATGTTACAGGTGAAAATGATAGGGGAAAAAAGAAAAACAACAACAAAACAAAAAGAAATTGTCAAAGGTAATTATCAATGTAATTATATTTTATCATTATCATAATTATTATCAATGTTATTATTATTATTGTTATTATTATTATTATCATTACTATTGTTAGTAAATTTGTATCATTATCTTCATCATTATCATTTAATCATTTGCACGGAATATTACCCCCAAAAAATTGTTTACATCGTATGCACAAATTAAACGAAAAGTCCAGAAAGAATACACGAGGCATAGCATAAAATGCATTATAAGTAATGAAAATAATTATAAAAGTGAGTAGGAAAATTGCAAATTCAACCTTTATAATTATAGTCAGTCCTATTCTTCCTATCACATCGGATCAAATTTAATTTGGTATAAATGTGTAGACCTTTACCCTTCATAATTTTGTAAATCCGGGGCACCTAGCTTATCCACCTTTGACGATAATCATGTTCAAGTGCCCCGTGTAAGATGTACAAGCGGTTATGGGGGGGGGGGGGGGGGGGGACTCTAGCCTCCCACTTCAAGTTCCCAAGCCCCTCTCTCCCCGAAAAAAACTTAAACCGGTAGGGGGCACAAAAATTTCCAAGATCGGTTGAACTTTTTTGACCATTTTTTTTTTTTACCTCGATCGATTACATGTATGTGCCCCTCCCCCCCCCCCCCCCCAAACATTAACTCTGGCTACGTTCCTGCATGGGTGCAATAATGAACGAATTCAAGATGGCTCAACCTTTGTGTCAATTTTGGTGTTTTTATCACCTGATGATAATATGGGCAATGAGGGTGAGGGTGAAATATTGTATTAATTGTGTTGAATTGATTTTTACAATCATGTCAACTGGCTATTTACAATCATGTACAGGAATGTGAAATGACAAAAAATCATATAGTCCATGTCATCCTATTTTAATTTAAGCAACCCCTCCTAGACACATAACCTGCAATTGACCAATCAGCGACAACATAATAGTCTAGTTGGTTGTGTACTCACGCGTACGGTTTCAATTCGCGCGCGCGCGTACGTACGTACGTAAATTAAGGATTATTATGTACACAAATAATCGGGATTGAGCAACTGAGGAATACTTCTTGTCGAATTTGTCAACATTTCTGCAGAAATTCTGCATGTTGTAGCAGACGAAATGCCTTGTGATACAATATCACCTAAAACCCACCATCTTCTAAGCATGCTAAGTGGTGTTGGTTCAAAGGATTCTACCATTAACCAGTATAAACTGAATCAAATTCGGACTTATTATCCGGATGGCAAAAGGAAACGAGCCGCTTGTCTGTGCTTCCGAAACGAATCAAAGAATGAGGTGAGTTAGCTTGATTGGATTTTTATTTTTCAATTTATTATATTTAACTATCAAAGCTAGACCTTAAAATCCATGTGGTAGACTGTTCAAGAAATTATTAAGATGTGTTTTGTGAGGGCTGGGGAAAATGTTAGATTTTTAATTGTTAATTTGGTAGTCTATTGGATTTTGCATGCATCTTTGTTTAGCTCCATGTTTTGAAAATTTATCTGAACTGAAGCCTGAGCCGAGTTGAGAAAGGTTGCATGATGATTGATTTTGTATTCTATTCATATTTGACCTAAAATTCATTGTTTTAACATCAGACACGACTTACATATATTCGAGATCTTGGTGGTTTAAATATTATCTGTATCTATGGACATTGTCAATGTTAAACCAGGCCCCTCTCCCTCTCATCCCATTCGCCTTCTGCGCCCCACGGCTCTTCTTATGCCTGTAGAGATCTCCCACGTGCTCCGCCCAGCCAGACGGCCGGGTATGTTTCTGTATGGCGGTGGTCTACGTGCCTAGCTTACACTACTCATATCGCCAATGGTCAAATCGCTATTACATACACACGGTCGTCATTTTGGTGCGACACCTATGTTTTGACGCGACGTTGAGAGAGGGAAAAGGAAATTGCTTTGCAAAATAGTAGATCGTCTAGGCCTAGTGTTCGGATGTTGTAAAGTAATCCAGGCTTTGTTAACATTTATTTTGTTTGAAAAGAAAGAAAGAAAGAAAAAAAAGAGTGATGACATAATTTAATTGACATAGCATTTATTATTATTATACTAAGAATCTAGTCTAGATCTAGATTCTAGATCTAGATGATAGATCTAGAGCCTCAGAGTCAGACTCAGTGGTCTAGATATTCTAAGGCCTACCTGTCTTTACTCAGTCATGGCATAGGGGTTCAACAATCTAAATATTTATTTCAAGATACACTAGATCTATGTTCTTTTATTTTCTTGTGAAGAAAACAAATGTTTCTTCTTCCAGAGTAAGTATTAAAGTGCTGCTTCAAGGTGATGAAGATTAACGCACTGGTTGTGTGTCACCGTGTGTGTTTATTGAAACTGCAAACTATTAGCAAAAATGAATGTCCAAAGAAATCTGGGAACAAAACTGAATACAAACAAAAGGAGGAGGGTTCTGATGTCTTAAAATCCTATGGTGCAAAAAACTTTTATTGTTTTTGAAATGTGTTTAAAACTTTAAAAAACTGTTCATCTACAGGTGTACATTGTATCTCTCTGTTGCGTCATTCAACTTGTACCAGTTGTTAGATTGCTATGGATCTTGAAATTCCAAAACAATTCAAAAACTGAATAAGAACAAAACAAGGAAAGTTCTAATGTCTGAAAATCCTATGGTGCAAAACAGTTTTATTGTTTTAGAAATGTCTTTAAAAAGCGATTTAGCTATCTCTCTTTTGCATCATTCAACTTGTACCAGTTGTTACTTTGTTAGATTGCTATGGATCTTGAAATTGCAAAACATTTCCATACAGTACAGTGTATGTACCACTCCTTTGAGTCCTCTCTTCATATCCCTGCCTTTAAAGGCTTTAATTGATATTTACAAACAAAAAACATAGGAGGGCACTCAGGGCAGTGCAGTATGGGTACTCCCATACTACATAACAATTATGAATGAGTGTAAAATAAAATGAATTGTTGCTAATTTGTTAAGAGAAAACAGAATAATTTGGAAGAAAAAAGTTAACTGCTACATGCACAGTTGAGTCAACTACTGAACTAGCATGTACCAACATGTACATGAATTTAAACTCTTCCTTTTTAAGTTACAACATGTACATGTATGTTTATCAAACATGAAGTTACATGTAATGACATCAATATCTATTTTCTTGGCAAGTGATGCAATTTGTGTATATTTTCTTCCTGTACCACAGGTCTTGCTTGTGTCTAGCAAGTCAAGTCAAGATTTATGGGTGATACCAGGCGGTGGCCTCGAACCTGATGAAACACCAGCTGTGGCAGCTGTCAGAGAACTAATAGAGGAAGTGAGTAAATTGTTGTCATTCTCAGTGACTTTCAAGTTGGATACCCCAGTTTGTCCCTATTCCCCCCTTGTTGCCCCTTTGTTGACACTTTTAAGCCCACTTTTCCCCTGTTCTAGCCACCTCCTTTGCCCTTCTGTGATCCTTCCCCTCGTTGACCCTCTAACCCTCTCATACCCGGCTGCTTACCCCTTTTTTTGTTATCCCCCCCCCCTGCCCTCTTTAACCTCATTGCCCCTCTTTCCTCCTTTTTGCCTCACATCACCCCTTTTTGCCTCACATCACCCCTTCCCTCTCCCTCTCCCTCTCATCACCCCTTCCCCCTCCCTCTCTTCACCCCTTCCCCCTCCCTCTCTTCACCCCTTCCCCCTCCCTCATGCCCATCTTTCTTTCTCTTACCATCTTCTCACCCCTTTTTGCCACCCCCCTCCCCCCCCCCCCCCCCCCCCCCCCCCCCCCCCCCCCCACCCCCCTCTTCACTTCTTCCCTCAGGCTCATATCCCAATGGTTTAAGAGAGGCAAGCAAATCTACCATTGTTTCCTAAAATTGGATAAGCAGGAAAACTATGTTTATGAAGATCACCTTGGGATACCCCAGTTTGTCCCCTCTTCTACCCTTGTTTCCCCTTTGTTGACACGCTTGAGCCCACTTTTCCCCTGTTCTAGCCACCTCCTTTGCTCTTCTTTGACCATTTCCCCCTCTCTGACCCTCTCTGCTCTAACCCTCTCATACCCGCTCTTTCTGTTTGTTATCTCCCCCTCCCCTAGTTTACCCCCTCCCCTAGTTTACCCCCTCCCCTAGTTTACCCCCTCCCCTAGTTTACCCCCTTCCCTTACCCCCTTCCCTTACCCCCTTCCCATTTCCCCTCATTGCCTCTCTTTCCTCCTTTTCCCCTTCTCCCTATTTCCCTCTTATTGACCCCCCCCCCCCCTCAGCCTCAGCCTCAGGTCCATCTACATGTATCCTCTTCCCATCTCTTCACCCCTTTGTGCCTCTCCACTTCTTCCCTTCTCTTCCCTTCTCTTCCCTTCTCTTCCCTTCTCTTCCCTCATCTCCCAATGGTTTGAGAGCAGGCAAGCAAAACCACCATTGTTTTCTAAAATTGGATGAGCAGTTTTGAAGATCACCTTGGGCTTTTTCACGTGTGAAGGAAGGCTGTAGTTCCTCCATTTAAATGATTTTGAAAATACCTGCGCTGCTGTATCAGTAGCCCGGCCCCCCCACTCAGAGGTCGGAATGACCGCATGCGTGTTGCCAAAATGTCCGGTAAAGGGGTACTTTTCGTGCGACAAAGTCCGGCCCGAGAATTGTAAAAAAAGGGGTGTATTTGACTTTTCACCCGGAGTTTTCTTTAAAAAGGGGGTGTTTTTCTTTTTTTTCTCTCATCTCTTTGGATTCCTGAGAAATTATTCCGAATTTAGGGGGGTACATTGAGCATTTTTCCTGATTTAGGGGGGTCTCCAAGGCAGGAAAAGCCCGCGAAAAGCCCGCGATAGGGGGGTTCGGAAATGTTGGCAGTCCTCAGATAGGGGGTGCTTTCAAAAAGAGGGTACGAGCATATGCGTACCCTAAATAACACTGAGTGGGGGGGCCGGGATCAGTAGACAACTTGTTTTTTTCTGAAAGTTCATAATTCCAAAAGTTTGTAAATCGTAATTCCGAAACAGAGATTTCCCATAGCCAGGTTCATACAGTACAGGGTAATTCTGAAATGAAATACATGTAGGGTTCTAAATTCCAAACATTTGTAGCGACTTTTGGGAGGATTTTTTATCTGAATCTTAAGACTGAAGGGTTCATGATTCTGAAACTGAAATACGGTTAAAGTTTGCTATTCGGAAGGTTTGTAAATAGAGTACGTACAGTGTACAGCTACTTCAGGAATAGAATTGAAGGGAATTACATTTTGATATTCTGAACGGTTCATTATTCCGAAACTGAAATAGGATTGTTATGTTAAAGGTTCGTAAATAGGTGCAGCCCTACCCTGTACAGGAATAGAACTAAATGGAATTACATTTTTGGAATTGTGAATCTTTATAATTACAACTTTTGAAAAATTTGGCAGTTAGACCGAATGAGCGACAGGCCAAATGGGTAGTAGACTTATTGGAGATTAGACCAAATGGAAACTAGACCAAAAACATGTAGCTATTAACCTTAATGGTCATTAGACCAAATGATAAGTAGGCAAAATGATTATGAGACCGTTTGGATAGTAGACGGGCTGGATATAGACCATATAGGAATAAACTAATTTGGTATTAGACAATTAAGTTGTACTTGTAGCCCAAACAGCAATTCACCTATACAGCCATGATACATGCATACCTACATTGTACTGTTTACATGTATATCGTTGACGTTGACTGTTCCTATTAAAGGTAAAGACCATAATTGGAAACGCCCCTAATTCAAAAAATGAAATGGAAGCTCTCATTACCAATCATGTGAAAGAATATGTTTTGACTAATACATGATGATAAAAAATTTGCCGGGAAACTGCCTACTAATTCATATATTTGGTAAATTTGTTTCTCTCATGGTCTGTGAGAGATATAGGGGACCCATATACATCTTTCTGTGTATAGTGCTTCTAGCTTTACGAAGAATGGGCCAAATTTCTTATCATTTTAATGATTCCAGAACCTTGCAGATGCTAGATGCTAGATGATCAACCTTTTCTGATCGATTCCACCACGTTTCTTTCACAATGCAATCGCATGACCATAACTGGTCTTTTCCTTTAAATTATGCTATGAACAGTGCCTCAAGTGGAAATACAAAGTTCAAAGGGGCACACCTTTGAGATTTGAAGTGAGCAAATAGACAGACAAGATAGATGAGTAGCTCCTCTGTTTTTATTTGACTCTGATGGATGATAAATGTATGGGTGTTAACATATTTTGCTGCCCGTTCAAAGAAAATTAAAGATAAGATAAACCAGGCAATCAGGATGTATTTTTTAGCAGGGTTAAACATAAACATTACAAAATGTTTCTTTGTCTTCCAGACATGTACAGTACATCATGCAGTTTTAAAAGACATGACAAATACACATTGTATACCTGTACATGTACCCAAGTCTGAAAAATGCAAAGTAATTTTTTGCTGTGCTGTGTGTACAATGTACATGGAGGCCTGTCAAAACAGTATAGTAAGCCCAGTATAGTATACAAATATACACTGCCTTGAGAGGTTCTGGTTAAAACTATGCGCAAGAGGTGACTCCAATAGTACTGTTACAGAAATTGGATGCTCGAACGATTAAAAAGGGAGGTCTGAATTGGAGACTAGCTTTAATTTGGGCGAGGTTTTTGGGAGTGTGTAAAAGTTTGGAGCTGAGGCCGAGGTAGTTTGAAGACAGACAGATTTTGTGAGAACTGAAGAGTTAGGAGCTGGGAGGATGTTGCTCGGGAGCATCATCAATTAGCCAAAGGGCAAGAACTAGTATAAATGTGAGTTAAGTGTAACTGTTATTAGGTTGTGGCAAGTAAATATATTGGATATCACCACCATGTTTCTTGTGAATAAACATCAGTTACTTAAAAATCATTGATCGATAACTCCTTTCTCTCAGAGACTGTAATTGTATGTGTGTATGACTTGGCCCTGGCCTTGCGTGAGCATTAATTTAGGCTAGACTAAACATCTACCCCTGCAGTCTTTAAATTCCCCATTTTCTTATAAAAGAATTCCCAAAAGTTATTACACTGGTGTCAGAAGTGGGATTTGAAAGGTGGAATTTTAGAAGATTGTTAGGTCTAGTTAGGGAATAAGTCATATTTTGATTGTAGTAACTAGTAGTATAAAGTTAAGATAGGTCAATGGCAGTAGCCAACGTTCATTGTCATTGCATTGGCATCGTACACCACTGCACTGCAAAAGCTCTGTGTGTATACGGGGAGCAACGCGTTGTATTGGTGTGTGTGTGTGTAGTAATGTTTTAGGATCGGTGTTTCAGTGCATGTGCTGAGCAAAGGGAAAGTTGGTAGTCCCGCAGGCTAGATACAGCTAGTCTTGCTTTGCAGACCCGATAAGCTACTTTTGTTTGGGGAAGTTAAGATATAACTTAGTAGTAAATTTAGTCACTTTAAGTAACTTATTTTGATGGGATTGTTTTATTTGCCATTTAACTAACTCAATAATTTTAATCCCCTTTAGGATTATATTCTTCTTCATTGGATTTTATTGTGGAAAAGTTTAAACTATACTGAACCTGACGTGAAATTTGTATAGGGATTTTAAATACAGTAGCCTTATAGTTTCCATTTATAAAACTTCTAAATAAAGCAAGAGTAGGCTCATGAAAGTAACAGGGGTTTAGGGTGATACACAGTTGTTGAAGTGACTATCGACTCTCAACCATGCATCGCTCACGGATCTCGTCACGTACGCGTACAAGAGGGAGGGGTCGCCTTTCGAGTCCTCTAGGAGTTGGCGCCCTCCTACAAGCGTTTGAGAAGTTTGCGGAAAGTGCCGTCAGTAACCAGGCTGAAATTATAGCGCACCTTGACAGATCTTCCACAGCACAGCAGGGTATTGAAAGGCGTCTGCAGGTGCTGGAAGCCAGAGTTGGAGACCAGAGCCCAGTGACATCACCAAGTGTTCAGAGAAAGCACGTAGAGGCCTCAATGATGGCAGAGGGAAACGGCAACTAGTCGTGTTCGAGGAGCAGAACACGGCTAGAAATGGCAAGGCTCCTGTCATTACATCCCTGGGTGGAGAAGCAGAAGGACTCTTCCTCAGAGGGGTGATGGTTGGCAGGACACTTTTGAATCAGCATACCCAATCTTCACAAGAAGGTAATTGTGTAGGTAAATGTGAGCGAGTTGATGTTGTCATTGATGTTGAATCTCAAGAGGAAAATGTTGGAGAGGCAGGAGAAGTCACAGGCGAGTTCGCTCCGCGTTTAAGGTTGCTGCCTGAAAGAAGCAGCGTAGGATTGTCAACGGGACAACCAGAAGAAACGCGGGAGTTGTTACTGAGACGACAAGACCTG